TATATATATATATATATATATATATATATATATATATATATATATATATGTATAGATATATATATATATATATATATATACATATATATATATATATATATATATATATATATATATATATATATATATATATATATATATATATATATATATATATATAATAAAATGTCAACGTTTAAATTAAAATGTACTTTTAAAAGTTAAATAAAATGGCACTGCTCTTAAAAAAAAGGGTTGGTCCAGAATGTAATTTTAAGGCTTGGTTGTGTTTATTAGATGCAAAGCAATGTGTGCTTGTGTTTCACTTGAAGGAAATCACATTATGTTTTCATATATCTCACTTTGATTATACACAGCTACTCAGCTAACATAAAAACGACTGTCAAATTTCCTAATTCCTCTGAAAGGCCCGCCCTTAAGTGACTCTGATTAGTCATGTGTCATAATGTGCTGCGATTCGCGGATCGGCTCCACATCACGCCTGTACAAGCATGCGATTTTCTGCTGTGTAAACAATGGGTCAACCTCCTGCCTGCTCTCTAAAATAAAATCTGACAAGTGTCTGTAACGAGTGAAAATGGGGTGCGGCTCCTTTAAGAGTGTTGTGTATGCGTCTATGTGTGTGTGTGTGTGTGTGAATGTTGTCTGCGTCTATGTGTGTGTAAATGTGTGAACTTTCTGTAACAAGCGCATGTGCATGGGAGTTTTTTTTCTTTTTCTCTGATGCTCGGATTAAGTTATTTTCTGTAATATATATCGTGACAGAAGAATAAAGCACAAGATGTGGGATGCGACTTGTGTGAACCTTGATTTATTTTTCTGCTGCTATTATAAGTCAGGTGAGCTATCCTGTATTTTTTTTAACCCAACGCGTTACATGACACCTTTCACATATATATCGGAATATGCAGGTGTAAGCAATATGAATCATCCACATATCTTTTGCGACTTCATTATCTGAGATGTGAAACGCATGGAAAAGCTGCCTAAGAGAATCAATGCAAAGTCGCGCACACACATAAGAGACACAGACGTGCTGGTGGTGTGTGTGTGTTTGTGTTTGTGTGTGTGTGTGTGTGTGTGTGTGTGTGTGTGTGTGTGTGTGTGTGTGTGTGTGTGTGTGTGTGTGTTTACAGCAGTTTGACTGATAAATATGAATTTGTAGCTAAAACGTTAGCGGTGCCAAACAGCATTTCCCATTGTTTACATAATTGCTACAGCATACCGTTAACGCTAGACACTGAACATGTCATGATCAATTTCAGCAAATAAAAAAACACTTACAGGTTGTAGCTCACAGCTTCTGATTTGAGGAGATTTTAGCCAAATCCAGCACTGAACTGGGAGACATTCTGGAGCTGTTTTGTTAAATCATGCTTGCTATGTACTTCATAATTCTCTGGAACATAATTAATATTGCACTGTAAGCACTTCTGTCTTTGTGTCGTGTCCTTTGGAAGCCCAAATACAGAAACAGATGAAGCTCTGTGGAAACAGCAGCGTTTGGACGCATTTTTAGCTCCATCTCTGCTATATCATTACAGCGCTTCTGGCCATGGCCCTTAGCTGCGCAGTGTGTGTGCATGGTAAACAAAACATTGTGATCTCACAGGTGGCGGAAGTATTTTTTGTAGTCCCCAAAATTCGTTCATTGTAGGCTTTGCTAAGCTAACTCTGTAACAACAAAGGTCTCACTTTGCATTGAACTTAGAACTTTTTACTTTCAGAGATGTTGTTTATGTTTACACAGCTACATTACACACCAACTAAAGTTTAAAATATGATATCATAGAAGACCACCCCTTTAAATGTAAAGTATTATTATATAATAGCCCATTCATTAAAACCTGGAAATGTTACTTAGACCTCATAAACAAAGGCCATATGTCATCATATTCATTCATAAACTCTTTAAAAAAATTTAAATATACAAATAAATCATATATACATGCAACATACTGTATATCTTTGAAATCTAAACATTAACTTGTATTTTAAATGTATGAATTGGACTGGCTCACTGCACGTTAGAGTAGGCTGTGTGTCAGAAAAGCAAGTGATTAAACTATACCTGTCAACATTGGGATATAAAAATACAGGATATGCCTCCAACAACTGTTACAAATATGGAGAGGAAATTAGCTTCAAATAAGAGAATACATAACAAACATTAGAAAGTTGAAAATAAAACAAAAGGTCTAGCCTATTAAAATCAATTTAATGATCGAATCGATGTCAAAGGGTTAAAAGTGTGTTCATTTCTTTTTTACTTTAATTATTCAGTGATTCCTCCTCATACCAGAAGGAAGCCTGCGTACCACTAGGGGTACGTGTACCACAGTTTGAGAACCGCTGGCTTATACCATTGTTGCAATAATTTTATGCAGCCCTGGTTTACAGAGTATTTCAGTTATTTGACTGTAGGGTTTCTAAAGTGATCACAACAATGTCTAATAAAAAATAAAAATAATAACAAAAAAATACACCAAAGCATCTACATCAGGGTGCTCAAACAAAAAAGTACAAAAAGCAAATATAAAAGCAGCTACACCAAAGCTTGGAAAATACCGTAATGTATTAATTAAAGCATAATAGCCTTTTCATAAAACATTATGATAAATTTAAAGCTTTGATATTGTATTTGCTATTTTCTCTTGTTCTAATTTACAAATATACCAACACATCAACAACATGATAATATCTCAAAATGAATTCAAACTTTATTCATTTATTCGTTCTTTCATGTACCTTTGTCTTAGTCCCTGATTTATCAGGGGTCGCCAAAGTGGAATGAACCGCCATGAACTCAAACTTTTCTTAATTAATTTATGTATAAAATATTTTAGGAGAGGTCATGTATTAGAGATCAGTTTAGTAAAAATACATAATCTGACATTATTAAAGAGCTTTAAAACATCTCTTCTTTAAATTCTATTGGTCTCAGCTATTTAGGGGAAGTCTTAATTAATGGAATGTCTCCTAAAATAATTTCTGTTTTTTGTTTTTTGTTTTGTTTAAGTCTTTGAATTTACTGTATAGTGTTGTTAAACCTGGGTCTGTGTGTTTTGTTCTCTTTAGTTTGCCAGTGCTGCACTCATACGCAAGCGGACCAAGCAGGAGGCAACCAAACATCTCATCTGTCATATTCACATTATGCATATTACCCGGTGAGATTCATTACAGTCAAGCATTATTGCACATACAGTATATCTGATCATTCATGTTCAGTTACTGTTACAAAACTGTAAAGACTAATACTACACTCCATATTCACAATTACTTTCATTAGCTTCAAATATTCACCCACCGGCCACTTTATTAGGTACACCTGTTTAACTGCTTGTTAACACAAATTTGTAATCAGCCTATCACATGGCTGCAACTCAATACATTTAGGCATGTAGACATGGTCAAGACGATCTGCTGCAGTTCAAAGCGAGCATCAGAATGAGGAAGAAAGGGCATTTAAGTGACTTTGGATGTGGCATGGTTGTTGGTGCCAGAGGGGCTGGTCTGAGTATTTCAGAAACTGTTGATCTGCTGGGAATTTCACGCACAGCCATCTCTAGGATTTGCAGAGAAAGGTTCAAAAAAGAGGAAATATCCAGTGAGTGGCAGTTCTGAGCGCAAATGCCTTGTTGATACCAGAGGTCAGAGGAGAATGGCCAGACTGGTTCCAGCTGATAAAAAGGCAACAGTAACTCAAATTAGCACTCATTACAACCGAGTTCTGCAGAAGAGCATCTCTGAACACACAACACATTTATCCTTGAGGCTGGTGGTGGTGTACTGTTGTGGGAAATTCTCTTGGCACACTTTGGGCCCATTAGTACCAATTGAGTATCGTGTGTCAACTCCACAGCCTATCTGAGTATTGTTGCTGACCATGTCCATCCCTTTATGACCACAGTGTCTCCATCTTCTGATGGCTACTTCCAGCAGGATAACACACCATGTCATAAAGTCTGAATCATCTCAGACTGGTTTCTTGAACATAACAATGTGTTCACTCTGCTCAAATGGCCTCAATAGAGCAGCTTTGGGATGTGGTGGAACAGGAGATTGGCATCATGGATGTGCAGCCGACAAATCTGCAGCAACTGTGTGATGCTATCATGTCAATATGGAGAAAAATATTTAAGCAATATTTTCAGTAGTTTGTTGAATCTACGGATTAAGACAGATCTGAAGGGAAAAGGGGGTCCAACACGGTACTAGTAAGGTGTACCTAATAAAGTGGCTGGTGGGTGTATAATTGAAATTGTTAGCCAAATTATTAGTCAAGTATTTCACAATATTTAACTCAACACATTTTTAAACACGATTTTTACTGACTCATTTTTAATAATTTTTGTTTACATGATGACAATACAAAATACTAGTCATTTTGCGAGATACTAGTATTCAGCTTTAAGTGCCATTTAAAGGCTTAATTAGGTTAACAAGGCAAGTTAGGATATAGTTACATATAAATGTGACACTGATTACGTTTACATGGACATCAGTAATCAAATTATTTGCCTTAATTTGAATCAAACAATATGATTAAGGTGTTTACATGAGTTGTGGATGAGTTAATGTGGATTAACTCAGAAGAAATAACAATAGAAACAGTTGCTTCCAGTCCTCAGCCCTCAGTTCCAATCAAGGTCTCCGTGACCTCTGACCTAGTTTGTTGGTTCCTAAAAAAGTTACAGACAGGCAAATGCACTGAACATTCTTACATAAAGCAGTGTGTTTAACTTATTCACTAGTTAAAATCATTTCAAAGTTAAATGCTCATTCAAATAATCAAATAATTATATTTAATAAATATAATGAGAAACATTAATTCATGCTGAGATGGATTGGAAGGTATAAATCTAAATTGTTCAAAGTCTATGGAGTGAAAAGTGCAGTGTGATCACGATTTATAATAGAAGAAGTTTTACCTACTAGTACTAGTTTAACAAACTATTAAGATTAACTAAAATGTGTTTGACAAGTGAAGTTTATTCATAAACTATTTTCAAGAGGCTCACATGCTTATGATTTATCACAGCCGGTCCCGTATTTGCTAATCACTATCTTCCAATCATATGAGCCCTAAGCTACTTATAAATAACCAAAGTTTTCATCTCATTTTATCTTCGTTTGGAAGAAACCCCCCTCCTCCCCTATTCTCCTCCTTTACCTCTGACTGGGTGGCACGGCGGCCCAGTGGTTAGCACTGCGAGCCACACAGCAAGAACACTGCCGGCCCTGGTCCCTTAGGGCCGGTGGGTGTTTCTGTGAGGAGTTTGTATGTTCTCCCCGTGTCCGCGTGGGTTTTCCCCGGGTTCTCCGGTTTCCTCCCACCATCCAAAGACATTCAACACGTATAACAATCAAGCATCTGTCTAACCCCTGTGTTTCCTTAGCTATCGCAGTCGGGGAGTTCTGAGATCCACCGAGCTCAGGCTCCCCTCTCGCTCTGCCAACGGGAGGAAGCCCCGGGCTCGAGGATCCCTTGAGCTCGGGGCTCTCTCCCGGGACAGCATGCCAAACAAGCTTTTATAAATCATCAGCTAAGTGTGAACTCTTGAAAAATCTGTATACGGGAAAGGAGGTTAGTTGTTTTTACTTCTTTTCCTTTCTTGACCAAAAACATAATTAGTGCTGTGTGAGCATCATCCATTTTACATAGATATAAAAATAAATTAAGACTATTGTGTGTTTTATGATATGCTGTAATAAATTGAAATGTTTCTTATGATTTACCATGTGTATGTAGACAATACATGAAACATTAGGTCATGAAAATCGACTTGAAAGTCCTGGAAAAGTCCTGGGGCCTCATGTATCAACACTGCGTACGCACAAAAACTTTGCGTACGCCAGATTTCACGCTCAGAATCGCTCATGTTTGGATTTACTAACGATGAACTGAACGTGGGAATGTGCGCAGCTCCATGCCAGCTTTATGGCTGGCGTACGCACATTTTTTTGTGCGTGTCTGTTTTATTTCCATTGGCGACTCCTAGAGGCAGTTGTGTTAAATTCCTCTCTACAAAGTGTCTGAGCCTTGCAATGGCAGCTGTATGAGACGGGTTCATCTAGCAGGTATATAAGGTTTTCATACCATACAGTTGACCAGCCAAACATTAAAGCACAATTTGCAGCGGTCGCCTGTTTTCCCAATGTAATCTGAGCGATCTACTGCACGCACATTGCTATAAAGACACTAACTGAAGGTGAATTTGCATGCGTGAATCAGAAACATTTCCATTCAATAAATGTGCAAATAAAATATGATGCACAGACTTATTAATGATTCCTACTTGTCTTTCTCATAATAAATAGTTGGCAAAATCTGATATGTAGTGGGGAAAAAAGACGCTGGATTCAAACCGAGTTCATGCTCAAACGTGTCAAAACATGTTAACTTGCGTTTTACGAGCTGCGCCACTGACACTATTAAGGGAACTGCAACATTTTACAGCTATAAATCACACTATTTCTTTTTTAATTTACTCAGTGCGATGTTCAGACCCAACTGTGTTAACCGCATCAGCTAAACTCTCCCACTCTATTTTTTTTTTTTTGTTGTTGTTTACTCCGGAGAACAAACTTGCAAATAACACAGTTTTTCTCCGGTCTTCCTCCGAAAGCAGCACCTCCAATTCACATTCTGTTCAAAGTTTCTCTTTTTGCTTGCCATTGCCTTTGCTTTTTTGTTGGGTTTTGCCAAAGTAGAGTCATTAGCATATTCATACGGGGGAGGAGGCAGGGAGGGGTTTTGTGCTCGTGCATGTTGTGCTCAGTTTCACGTTCATTCGGATGTACAAAAGAATATGCGTGAGATTCGACGTACGCAGTGTTTCACACATCTGAAATTTTTTCTGCGTACGCACATTTACAGCTTTGTGCGTACGCCAATGTTTTAGTATGAATTCCACGCAAGTCTTCGTACATGAGGCCCCTGGAATTTTTGTAGTAAAATGTATATGAAGCCTGGACTTCAGTCGAATGAAGGTAATCAAAAATCGATGTTTACATGGTAGACTTTTCATCAGAGTATTGTCTTAATCGTATTAACATCAGACTATTAACAAGTGTATAATGTATTCATTGGCTCTGGATTTGACACAGTATAAAGATGTTCATTATCATTAGCAGAATTATTCAGTGAGCCACCAACAAAGCAGCTTCCAGCCCACAAACTGGCCAGTGCACCATGTGTCTGAGCAGAGAGGAGACATGAACCTGGACAGAGCGTTTCGGATGGTGGATGATTTCCAGGGTCTGTCAAATGTTCGTATAGTCCAGGTGGGACCCCCAGTAAAACCCCAGCTCATCTCCAACCCACCTCTCTACACTATACCTTCTGCTCCTAAAGCTCAGTCTGTGAGTCTGCAGAGCATCGAGACTATGACCTTCAGTCCTCCAAAAGACACTGACACATATGAAGACCACAGCCAAATTAAAGCAGATCTGGAGTCTTTAGAACAGTTAAAAGATGGCGGTCTGTCTTTTAAGGTAAAGTCTAAAGAGGGTACAGTCCAGATACTTAAATCAATATAGCTTACATTTTTAAATTACTGTTTTTACATTACAGCGAGGGTTATGTTTAGGGTTGTGGTAGGCTTAGGGTTTAATAAAAAGCAATTTGATGGGTAATTTAATGAATAATACTCAGTTTACTGTTTTTACATTACTTTGAGGGTTGGGTTTAGGTTTGTGGTAGGTTTAAGGGTTAATGTTAACAATCCTCTGTATACTGTTTTTACATTACTGTAGGGGTGAGATTTAGGATTGGGGTAGGGGTAATAAAATACACTAAAAATACAATTACAATTAATAATACAAAATACAATTAATAAGTAAATTAATAAATAATAGAAAATATTTTAATTATAATTACTGTTTTAACATTACTGTAAGGGTTGGGTTTAGGTTTGTGGTATGTTTAGTGGTTAATAAAATGCAATTTAATAGGTAATTTAATTAATAACACTTTATATACTGTTTTACATTACTGTGAGGGTTGGGTTTAGGTTTGTGGTAGGTTTAAGGGTTAATAAAAAGCTATTTAATGGGTAATTTAAATAACAATCCTCTGTATACTGTTTTTACATTACTGTGAGGGTTGGGTTTAGGTTTGTGGTAGGTTTAAGGGTTAATAAAAAGCTATTTAATGGGTAATTTAAATAACAATCCTCTGTATACTGTTTTTACATTACTGTGAGGGTTGGGTTTAGGTTTGTGGTAGGTTTAGGGGTTAATAAAATGCAATTTAATAGGTAATTTAATGAATAACACTTGATATACTGTTTTACATTATGTGAGGGTTGGGTTTAGGTTTGTGGTATGTTTAGGGGTTAATAAAATGCAATTTAATAGGTAATTTAATTAATAACACTTGATATACTGTTTTACATTACTGTGAGGGTTGGGTTTAGGTTTGTGGTAGGTTTAGGGGTTAATAAAAAGCTATTTAATGGGTAATTTAAATAACAATCCTCTGTATACTGTTTTTACATTACTGTGAGGGTTGGGTTTAGGTTTGTGGTAGGTTTAGGGGTTAATAAAATGCTATTTAATGGGTAATTTAATACTCTGTATTTTGTTTTTACAGTACTACGAAGATTGTGTTTAGTGTAGACATTAATAAAATACAATTAATGGGTAATTTAAAAATAATATAAATATTTTAATTATAATTACTGTTTTTATATTACTGTGAGGGTTGGGTTTAGGGTTGGGGTAGGTTTAGGGGTTAATAAAAAGCAATTTAATGGGTCATTTAAATAATAATCCTCTGTATACTGTTTTAACGTTGCTGTGAAGGTTGGATTCAGGGTTGTGGTAGGCTTAGGGGTTAATAAATAGCAATTTAATGGGTAATTTAGTGAATAATACTCAGTATACTGTTTTTACATTACTGTGAGGGTTGGGTTTAGGTTTGTGGTAGGTTTACGGGTTAATAAAATGCTATTTAATGGGTCATTTAAATAATAATCCTCTGTATACTGTTTTTACATTACTGTGGGGGAGGGTTTAGGTTTGTGGTAGGTTTAGGGGTTAATAAAATGCTATTTAATGGGTAATTTAATACTCTGTATTTTGTTTTTACAGTACTACGAAGGTTGTGTTTAGTGTAGACATTAATAAAATACAATTAATGGGTTATTTAAAAATAATATAAATATTTTAATTATAATTACTGTTTTTATATTACTGTGAGGGTTGGGTTTAGGGTTGGGGTAGGTTTAGGGGTTAATAAAAAGCAATTTAATGGGTCATTTAAATAATAATCCTCTGTATACTGTTTTAACGTTGCTGTGAAGGTTGGATTCAGGGTTGTGGTAAGCTTAGGGGTTAATAAATAGCAATTTAATGGGTAATTTAATGAATAATACTCAGTGTACTGTTTTTATATTACTGTGAGGGTTGGGTTTAGGTTTGTGGTAGGTTTAGGGCTTAATAAAAAGCTATTTAATGGGTAATTTAAATAACAATCCCCTGTATACTGTTTTTACATTACTGTAGAGGTGGGATTTAGGATTGGGGTAGGGGTAGACGTTAATAAAATACAATTAATAGGTAATTTAATAAATAATTAAAAATATTTTAATTATAATTACGGTTTTTACATTACTGTGAGGGTTGGGTTTATGGTAGACATGAAATACATGAAAAAATAAAATAAAATATGGGGAATTTATTGAATAACACTCGATATACTGTTTTTACATTACTGTGAGGCTTGAGTTTAATCTGGTAGGTTTAGGGGTTAATAAAATGCCATTTAAAATGCTATTTAATGGGTCATTTAAATAATAATCCTCTGTAAACTGTTTTAACGTTACTGTGAGGGGAGGGTTTAGGGTTGTGGTAGGCTTAGGGGTTAATAAAAAGCAATTTAATGGGTAATTTAATGAATAATACTCAGTATACTGTTTTTATATTACTGTGAGGGTGGGATTTAGGTTTGGAGTAGACGTTAATAAAATACAATTAATGGATAATTGAATAAATATTATAAATATTTTAATTACAATTACTGTTTTTACATTACTGTGAGGGTTGGGTTTTGGTTTGTGGTAGGTTTAAGGGTTAATAAAGTGCAATTTAATGGGTAATGTAATACTCTATTCTGTTTTTACATTGCTATGAAGGTTGTGTTTAGTGTAGACATTAATAAAATACAATTAATGGGTAATTTAATAAATAATATAAATATTTTAATTATAATTACTGTTTTTACATTACTGGGAGGGTTGGGTTTTGGATTGTGGTAGGCTTAGGGGTTAATAAAAAGCTATTTAATGGGTAATTTAATGAATAACACTCGGTATACTGTTTTTACATTACTGTGAGGGTTGAGTTTATGGTTGTGGTGAGGGGAAGACATCAATAAAACACAATTTAATTAGTAACTTAATAAATAACGTTTATAACAAATAACTAATTTCCATTAACATTCGGCTGCAGCTGTATCCCTTTTTAAGTGTGAAGCATAACTAACTAACTTTACATTCTGTATTCTATCTGCAGGTCACAATTGAGAACGTGAAGGAGGAAAACATAAGAAATGAACTTCAGATCAACACTCACCGCAGCTCATTTTGGACAGATTCTGATTTCTGATCTGTATGTCAAATTTGTTCAGTCATTCAGATTTAGTGTTTTACTGTTTTATGATTGTAGAGTTCCATTGAAGATTGATCAGCATATGTGCAAGACATCTAATCAAAATATTACATGTAAACCGCTGCATGAAATATTTATGAAAGTTTTGTTTAGGTGATTTGAAGTGCTGTTGTTAAAATTCATATTTTCAAAATGTGTTTTCTCAGAGGATTTTAAATGTAACACTAAATGCCGTGCTGTTCTTAACATAGCACAAGAGCGAAAGTCAGATTTTAGTACCAGTGAGATGAACTGATTTGTTTTCAGCCTTTTAGGATTTGAATAAATGCAAAACAAATGATAAACCTGATAAAGCCATGTGTCATTGCTGTTTTTTTTTTAGAAACCTTTATACTCATTACAGGCCTGTAGCCAGAAGGGGTTCGGGTGGTTGGAAAGACCCACCCCTCACTGACTAAGGTCCAGAATTTGTCCCATACATGAGCTTAATTGTCCTATTTTGACTGCTATACCATTATAAATAGTGAAAATAACCCATTTAATAAGGCTTTAAGATCAAGCTGAATCCTTTGTTGGCTGTCGCTTTGATGTAACAGTTTTGGCCAATGCAAACAAATGTTTTTATTTCACAATCTGCCATAAGAGAAGTCATCTCTCACTACTGCACTGTTTTTAAACAGAGAAAACATTTTACATGTAACTTAATCTTGAACCTTATTCTTGAAACACAAAATAAGCAATAAAAAGGTGTGAAACACCGAAAGCAGACCGTATTAAAATTGATTTGAATACTAATTTGGCTGTTGTTATTACTTTTTTTACAAGAGAGGCTTGAAAAATTGTGGTTGAACACTATTATTATTATTATTATTAATATTATTCATTCATTCATTTTTTTCGGCTTAGTCCCTTAATTAATCAGGGGTCGCCACAGCGGAATGAACCGCCAATTTATCCAGATTATGTTTTACGCAGTGGACCGCCTTTCAGCTGCAATTTAACACTGGGTGACATCCATACACACTCTTTCACAGACATACACTACGGACAATTTAGCTTACCTAATTTCCCTATAGCGCATGTGTTTGGACTGGGGTAAACTGGAGCACCCGGAGGACACCCAAGCAAACAAGGGGGAGAACATGCAAACTCCGAACAGAAACAGCAAATGACCCAGCCGGGACTAAAACCAGCGACCTACTTAATGTAAGGCGATTGTGCTACCCACTGCGCCACTGTGCTGCCCTTATTATTCATTCATTCATTCATTTTCTTGTCAGCTTTGTCCCTTTATTAATCCGGGGTCGCCACAGAGGAATGAACCGCCAACTTATCCAGCGTGTTTTTACGCAGCGGATGCCCTTCCAGCCGCAACCCATCTCTGGGAAACATCAACACACACATTCACACACACACATACAACTACGGACAATTTAGCTTACCCAATTCAGCTGTACCGCATGTCTTTGGACTGTGGGGGAAACCGGAGCACCTGGAGGAAACCCACACGAAGGCAGGGGGAACATGCAAACTCCACACAGATATGCTAACTGAGCCGAGGTTCGAACCAGCGGCCTTCTTGCTGTGAGGCGACAGCACTACCTTCTGCGCCACTGCCTCGCCCGCCCTTATTATTATTATTATTTATTTATTTATTATTTTCTTATTTATTATTATGTTTTCATTTTTTTATTCCAATAGCCAGATCTTATTGGGGAAATTTGAAGAATTAATTATTTCAAGTATTATTTAAAATGTCTCCATTATAAATCTTTAGAAAACATTTTTGGCATTAAAAAGTGTGGTTATGATGAGCATCCGGTAAGCTAATTCAGCTAATAATGCTTAAAAAGTCACTAAAATGCAGTTTCATTCATTCATTCATTTTCTTTTTGGCTTAGTCCCTTTATTAATCAGGGGTCGCCACAGTGGAATGACCCGCCAACTTATCCAACAAATGTATTACGCAGCTAATGCTCTTCCAGCTGCAACCCATCACTGGGAAACACTCATACTGTACACTCTCATTCACACACACACACACACACACACACACACACACACACACACACACACACACACACACACACACACACACACACACACACACTACGGACAGTTTTAGCTTAGCTTACCCAATTCCCCAATAGCACATGTGTTTGGACTGTGGGGGAAACCGGAGCACCCGGAGGAAACCTACTCTAACATTGGGGAGAACATGGTAACTCCACATAGAAACGCCAACTGACCCAGCCGAGGCTCGAATCAGTGATCTTCTTGCTGTTAGGCGAAAGCACTACCTACTGTGTCGCCTAAAATGCAATTTTTAATCTTATAATTAAATAGAAAATGTGTTGTATAACTGCAAAACTGTCCACCTTTTGAGAAAAAAATCCCACCTTTTACCAGGCTGGCTACGGCCCTGCATTTTAAGCTGGCTTAAGTCTTGATAAAGTAAATTTAATTTAAAATCAGGCGACATGGTGGCAAGAAGGTCACTGGTTCAAGCCCCGGCTGAGTCCGTTGGCATTTCTGTGTGGAGTTTGCATGTTCTCCCCGTGTTGGTGTGGGTTTCCTCCGGGTGCTCTGGTTTCCCTCACAGTCCAAACATATGCGCTATAGGGGAATTGGGTTGGCTAAGTTGTCCGTAGTGTGTGTGTGTGAGTGGGAGTGTATGGGTGTTTCCCAGTAATGAGTTGCAGCTGGAAGGACATCGCTGAGTAAAACATTCTGGATAAGTTGGCGGTTCATTCCGCTGTGTTAACCACTGATTAATAAAGGGACTAAGCCGAAAAGAAAATGAATGAATGAATAATTTTAAAATCACATTTACATTAAGAAAGATGCATTTTCTTACATCAACAAATTTTATTCACTTTGTTTTATTGCAAATCCTCGCTAAATATTAATACATTTTCCATTTATTTATTTCTGCTTGCATCCAGACAAAGCACATATTAGTTTTCAACATTTGATTTCTATTTTAACATGCCTGTAATATGTATTATAAATTGTACAGGGAGGTTGTTATGCAGTCACAAGTCTGTCACAGTTTACAAGGTTGTTGGTCAGCTTACTATTGTAATAGTGATGATTATATTCACGCTTTTTGAGTTTGAAATGTAGCATGGGACTGTATGCATGTCAGTAGATGGCGCAGTGACCGTGTGTGTGTGCGCGCGCGCGTGTCTGAGTTTAATGGGGCGGATCAGTTCTGCTCCACCCTCGCTGACAGTCAGCAGGTACACACACACACACACACATACACGCACACACACTCTCTCTCTCTCTCTCAACTTCAAACTTTGCCAGTGTTCCTGCTGTTCGGATCAGCAACACTGAGACTGTACTTCTGGCCAGCGCGTGCGGATTCTACACATGAAGCGACTGGATTTCTCGCCAAAAGGATCTGTGGAGATTTAATTCGACTCGAGTTGAACAGGTTTGTGAAGTACGAGAAGATTGAGCTCAATTCATTTAGAAACATGGAAACGAGTGTTCAGAAACAGCTCGATGTTTTCGATCGCTCCTCCAAAACGCGTGTTTTATCTGGATAATTTTTCCCCGTCGCATTTTTTGTTTCTTTACGTTGGCCCTCATGGGAAAGATTTCACAGTGGGATTATGAACTCTTCTGAACGTGTTTCTCCTCAGCGTGGAATAACCGATACAATGTGGCATTGATGGATACGGCGATTCTGCTACAACCTGTTACATTCTGGAATGTTTGGAATCCTTTGAAGTGGACGCGGCGCACCGCACAATAATGGAGTCATTATGACGTCACGTTATCAATCACGACGCGCGGGAAACAACAAGGGGAATCTATAATAATATCGAATAATATTGACCTCCTATTCAAACTCTCTCTTTTTGCTCACCTAAATCAATGCTCCCGCGAGGAGTTTGTCCGCTGTCAATCACTGGCTATCTGTCATATTCCATCACCTGTCAATCATGCGCTGTCAGTGATACAGGCCAATCAACAGCCAGCGTTCAAAAGTAAAGTTCCATTTGGAGTTCATTCGAATTGCTTAAACAGATCATCAGCGCTCTGACTGATTTAGTTTGGACGGTTTCCGTCAGTGAGCACCGGGAGTTTTGGGAGTGTTTGGGTTGTTTTGTGAACTGTGCATAATGTATGGCCGGAGCCCGCAGCCGCTGCCGGGACAATGAGGGTTCCTGTGCGGCGTTTGGCCGGGCTCTGGCCGTGGCTGCTCATGGCTGCCTTGCAGGTGGCGCTGGGCCACACGGGCCTGGAACTGGCCGCTGCCGTGGAGTCCGAACGGTCCGCTCCCCGAGCCACTATCACGGTGAAGCTGCTGAAGCAGGAGTCCACCGGCAGGCCCATCACTCTCGAAGGGCTGTTCGTCCGCGGCAGCGAGGGTAAAGCTCAGGGGAAACTCATGCAGGTAAGAGCTGGATGGTGTTTTTCATTGCTGAGGTTTATTATTGTTGGTGTTATTGGTTTTATATTCGCACATTTTTGTACTTTCTCCTTAATAATATAATTCCTGAAAAGTATTCTTTAGTGAAATCATGTTAGCAGTCAATGACTATTAAAGTAACTTTGTTTACAGTCAATAAAATAGTGCTAATGTTGTTTTGAAGTCGAACTTAAGACCCAATATACAAAGAAGCATGGTAAATAATATAGGAAGCGTGTCAATTTTCAATGAATGTGTGAATATAAAACCAACTTTATTTCATTTTTCTAAGTACACAATGGGACAGATGTGGTTTGCCTGATATTGTATATCATGAATATTCTGTGTGTTTTAACAAATTTGGCTTTTGTTCTGGATGAATAAGGAAAACGGCATCAGATGTGTGAGGGAATACTGATTTGTGGCATAGAGGTAAAGTTGGTTTTATACTCCGATATTCAGACACTTTCCTTAATAATATAATTCCTGAAAAGTATTCTTTGCAAATTCTTAATAGTGAAATCATATTAGCAGTCAATGACTTATTAAAGTAACTTTGTTTACAGTCAATAAAATAATGCGAATGTTGTTTTGAAGTCGAACTTAAGACCCAATATTCAAAGTAACTTGGTAAATAATATAGGAAGCGTGTCACTTTTCAATTTTCAATTCAATGAATGTGTGAATATAAAACCAACTTTACTTCATTTTTCTAAGTACACACTGGGACAGATGTGGTTTGCCTGATATTGTATATCATGAATATTCTGTGTGTTTTAACAAATTTGGCTTTTGTTCTGGATGAATAAGGAAAACGGCATCAGATGTGTGAGGGAATACTGATTTGTGTCATAGAGGAAAAGTTGGTTTTATATTCGGATATTCACACGTTTTCCTTTATAATATAATTTCAGAAAAGTATT